ATATATATATATATATATATATACACACACACACACACACACAGACAGCTCCTTGCTCTTTGCAATGTTGGGAAAAGAGGCATTTGGTTTCAGAAGCTGTAGACAGATCAGTATAAGTGCCCTTCAAGAAATCTCTTGTTATTGAATCCAAAGCACAGCAAGCCTGTTTAGGTTTTTATGTCTTTTGGAACTGGTAATTGCTAATAGAATAAGAATAGCACGACAATAGCAACAGCAACGAAACAAAAGTTATTTTACAGTCTAAGAAGGAGTTTTATTTCTCAAACTCTAGGATTCATCACATTATTCCACTATAGAGATCATATCAATAGAGACATTGGTGTTATGCAAATTTAATAATACAGAGAAGTCCATTAAAAATATTTGCTTGGCAAAACTCTGAATCAACAGGCTATTGAAAAGAACTTTTCAATTTTTTATCAGTTATATAGTTTGGTGTCAATAAAAAATATCAAAAATTAATAAATTTTTAATTGTTAAAAAAAATTTAAAAAAAAAATTAAAAATTAAATTCTTCTCCAGGCTATCTTTATTTGAAACACGCTCTTCTTCTGAGTCAGTTTAAAAACTCTTTAAACGTGACCTCCATGTAGTCATCTGGTCGTTCATTCTCCACTTTGTGTCTGTTTTCTTCCTACTCGCTCCTCCGGGTTGTTACACACAAACTGCAAGGGAAGCAAAACTTGGCAACTGTTTTTCCAAGAGAAGTTCCAGAGGCTGTAAATCAGACAGAAGCGATGCTTTTTTCTTTTTCTTTTTGCTAAGCGAAATGAATTTTCTGTCTCTTTTCCTTTAGAGAGCTGATATAGGCATTTCTGCATTGACGATTACACCAGACCGGGAAAACGTGGTCGATTTTACAACGCGCTACATGGACTACTCGGTGGGGGTCTTGCTGCAAAAGGCTGAAAAAACCATGGATATGTTTGCTTGCCTGGCACCATTTGACCTCTCCCTCTGGGCTTGCATCGCTGGCACAGTGCTGCTCGTCGGACTCTTGGTCTATCTTCTCAACTGGCTTAATCCTCCGCGGCTTCAGATGGGATCGATGACCTCCACAACCCTCTACAACTCCATGTGGTTTGTGTATGGATCCTTCGTGCAGCAAGGTAAGAAACGTCTATGGATCTCATGATGCAGTGGGTGGAATTCAAGTACCGTATTTTTCGGAGTCTAAGATGCACCAGAGTATAAGATGCACCGGAGTATAAGACGCACCAAGATTTTGAAGAAGTCAATTTTTTTAAAAAAAGTTTTGCACTCTGCAGACCTCCCAAACCCTCTGCACACCTCATTTTTTGTGAAATACGGGGCATGCAGAAAGTTTGATAGGACTGCAAAGTGATCCTGGGGGCTGGGGGGCAAAAACAAGCAAAAAATGGCCCGTTTTTGCCAGAAAAGGGGCATGCATAGTCTTTAGGAGGCTTTTAGAGTGCTCCTGGGGGCTGGAGGAGAGGCAAAAATGAGCAAAAAACTACCATTTTTCATGAAAACGGGCCATTTTTGTCAAAAAAGGGCCATGCGTAGCCTTTAGGAGGCTTGTAGAGTGCTCCTGGGATGCGGGGGGGAAACGAGCAATATGTGCCCGGTTTATGCTCATTTTTGCCCTCCCTACCCCCTAGGAGCACTTGGCAGGCCTCCTAAACCCTCTGCACGTCCATTTTTGTGAAGGGGGCGGAGTTTCAGGAGGCCAAAAATGCTCTATTGACTGTATGAGATGAACCCAGATTTTCACTTTTTTTTTTTGAGAAAAGGATGCGTCTTATACTCCGAAAATATGGTAGTCCTCAACTTACAGCAGTTTGTTTAGTGACTGTTCGAAGTTACAATGGCACTGAAAAAAGTGACTTATGACCATTTTTTAACAAATTTCCTTCCTTCCTTCCCATTGAATAACATGCAAGGTTGAGTTCTGAAAATCAGTAAAAAAAAATTGAATAAGAAATTCAACTTTTTCTTTTTATAGTCAATGCAAGCATTCTCTTGTGCTTTCTAATCAAGCAATGTCATTGTTTGTTTCAGTTTCATCGCCAATAGAGAGGCATTAATTCAGGTAAAATGTCAAGCATTACAAGTCCACAGAAAGATGTTAACTTATCATTAATCATTAAAAGTAAAATTACAGATAATGGCTGTGCTTTCCACTCTCCTAATATTTCAGTAATTACCCCCAAATTATAAGAAAATTGGAACAAAATATCCAGTATACTCAGCTCTCTTCTTGAAATAAGAACTAGAATACCAACATTTGCTCTTTGAAAAACAATCTCTTTGAATGGATGGGTCAATAAATAATAGAGAAGGGATTCATCTATAGGACGGTCAAAATCTCCTGAACTGGTTTCTGTGTGACAGTGTTTCTCATTTATCACTTGCTAGAGATGGCTGTTTTTTCCTCACTAAGTGTTGTGGTCCACCAATGGCCAACAGAGCTGGCAGCAGATTCGGACAATGAGGAGGTTGGGGAGGAATATGGGCTAGTCCTGGAGTCTGGGGGAAGGCTCTGATGAAGGCTCTGTGTCGGAGGCAGAGATGAAGCCAGGGCTGTCTAACAGTTATCAGCTGCCTTTGGAGTCGGAGATAAGTGAGGCTGAAGAACAGCTGGAGCCTGTTCCCGATGTGCACATGCACAGAGCTGTCAGGAGACGGGAACAGTTAAGGAACAGTTAAGGAACAAGGGTCGACTTGGGAGTAAAGACACAAGGGGATCCTGAATGGGAGTAAAAGGGGAGTGGTGTTTGCAGGAGACAATTAGTTTGTTAGTGGGAAGATTTGCTTATCTTAGTTCGTGCCTCACAGAGACTCCTTGCCAAGTATTTCCTTGTACAGCATTGTGTCTGGAAGCTATCAGCCTGGCAACTATCCAAGGACTGATAAGGTCTGTGTTTGCAATTCATCTTTGAAAGATGGATGTGAATGTTAGGAATTCACATTAGCCAAATAAAAAGGGTGTTGTTGTTTTTTCGCGACAAGGAGTCTGTTTCATGATTTGGTGAAGCCTAGTCAGAACACTAGGCTGCCTTTTCTAGTGCATCTTAAATAGCCCTTACCCCAACTGAGTGAAGAGGGACAGACCATTCCAATCACACAATTCACCTGGCATCGTTTATTCACTCACATTAGTCACCTTCTGCTCCTCTTCTGCACATTTGTTCAACTGAGCAACAGAAGGAATACGGCAGAATAATAAGCAGGCAATGGCAATGCTCAAAGAAAGAAGTATGTGCTGTGTCTTATGTAGCTATATATAAAACCTTGAACTGAGGATTCATTTCAATGAAGAGTCTCTATTAAGTGCTGCAGCTACTGATTTTGGTCCGGTGGAAAGGAGTGATTCCTGTGTGTTCACAAAAAGTTACTTCCATTGAAGCTCAGGATCTGAACACAGCCCTCTCTTGACAATTTGCCTTCTCTGTTAAAACAAATAGACTCTAGAAAGAGTGCAGAGAAAAGCAACAAAGATGATTAGGGAACTGGAGGCTAAAACATACGAAGAACAGTTGCTGGAATTGACTATGTCTATTTGGATAAAAAGAAGGACTAGGGGTGACATGACAGCAGTCTTCCAATATCTCAGGGGCTGCCACAAAGAAGAGGGAGTCAAGCTATTCTCCAAAGCACCTGAGGCCAGGACAAGAAGCAATGAATGGAAACTAATCAAGGAGAGAAGCAGAACTAAGAAGACATTTCCTGACAGTTAGAACAATTAACCAGTGGAACAACTTGCCTCCAGAAGTTGTGAATGCTCCAACACTGGAAGTTTAAAAGAAGTGATTGGACAACCATTTGTCTGAAATGCTATAAGGTTTCCTGCCTAAGCAGAGGGTTTGACTGGAGGACCTCCAAGGTCCCTTCCAACTCTGTTATTCTATTCTAAACAAAAGAAAAACCTCCTACAAAGCTGTATCACAATATGCACAGTGCTTTTAAATCTGCAAAATTAGAAACTTCCCTGCTTTGGAAGTCATCTCCTGTAGTTTCTGCAAGGGTAATTGTTCTAATATTTTCTGTAATTGCTGAACACAGCTTCATATTTACAAAAGAAAATTGCATTTCATCTTTAATATATATTCTATCGCAGTCCTTTTTGAGCCGAGCAGAATTAAGGGAGATGTATCTCCTTCGAACAGCTGAAAGGAAGACAAGCTTTCATTTGGCTGGAAAGAAGAGAACAATAATTTAATGGCGTTCATATTGAAATATATGAATGTACAGAATGCTTGAATAATTAAGGCACAAAGGGCCTTGAATTCAAGTAGGGCAGCTCAGGAGATTCATTTACAATGTCAGCCTGCATTTCATATTCAATTTGAATCTAGCAAAAAACTGCATGAGCAGAAGCCCAATTGTTTACTACTCTCAGTGAATTCAGAATTAGGATGAGGGGGAAATATGGTAATTCCCAGTGACAGATTGACTGGCTAGGAAGCTAAATCTAACTTCTGTGTTCATTCTTCACCTGCTTTCTATTCTGCAGAAGAAGTATGGGGAGGGGGCTTTATTTATTTTAGAATAACTAACCTTCTGTGATTAATTGTGATTGGCACATCTTAACCAAGGCAATATGGAAAGTTTTAAATATTGCCGTGTTCATTTAAGAAATCACTGTCAACAATTGATCTCAAACACGACACAGTAGTAATTTTAGAACTGTACCTGAATGTATATACATTGATAAGTGACAAACTATGTGGTGATTCTGGTTACTAAAGCACTATCAAACCCCCCCTCCCCTATTTTATTCCATACTAGCAGATAACCTGGCTTTGCCCGGGTATTTATTTATAGGGGGAAATATCTGCCCCAAACATAATTTCTAATGTTGGATTTNCCAGGCCTTTGCTGAATGTGAATGAGAGGAATTCACATTCATTTAATCAAAGGGGTTTTGGCAAGGCCAGGAATCTGCTTCATGCTTTTTGGAGAAGCCTAGGTCAGAACAGCGGCCTCCAAACTTTGGGGAACCACAGGGACTGGTTTGATGGAGAGAGGTTTTCCCAAGAACTGGAAGCAGCCTGGTTTCATGTGCTGCCTACATTCCACAGATAGAGCTTCACTTGATTGCGCAGCCCGGTTTCAGGCATGCTGTCTCCCCTGCTCTAAAGCAAAAGTTGAGAGAGATTTATTCTGTGCCCTTTCATCTAAATACTCTACTGAAGTTTCCAATTTTCTCTTCAGCTTTCTTTTTCTGCAGAAGGGCCTTTTATCTACCAAGCTTATCATCAAGGTGTGTTTCATTCCTTTTACTGGAAATTTCCGCATAGTTCACTTTATTTTGCAAGGTGGCAGAAACCGTTGCTAACATTTACTATCGTATATCTAGCTGTAATGTTATATAGCCTCCCTGACTGCTTCTTCTTTCTGATTTTTAAAAAGGGGGGGGGGCTGGATGAATGCCTTCATAGTATCTTTCCTGCCATGAAACTGACAGAAAAAAAAATATTTGTTAAAAATACAGAATGCAGAATAACAGAGTTGGAAGGGACCTTGGAGGTCTTCTAGTCCAACCCCCTGCTCAAGCAAGAAACCCTACACCATTCCAGACAAATGAGCTCAATCTCTTCTTTAAAACCTCCAGCGATGGAGTGCTCCAAGTGATGGAGCATCCACACCTGTTCCACTGTTTAATTTTTCTCATTGACAGAAAAATTCTCCTTACATTTATCTTCTCTTCAGGTTAGTTTGAATCTCATTTACATCTTTGCAAAATCTTCCACATCCAGCTGGACAGAGATAATTTAGCAAAATAGCAAAAACCAAGAGTTCGATAGATATTCTCCTTGAGGAAAAGGATGTTTAGATGGAGTAGGTTTGAGAAAAGTTTGACTGGTTTCTTCTTTTTTTGAGACCAAAGTAATATTCTTCTTATGTCCTACTGGTCAGCGATTCTCCTTTGAGATATTGTTTGAATCACTTTTCAGTGAGGTGGAGAACTAGAAGTCTCCTAGAAGTTGCAAAATTACAAATCGTACCACCATAAGTGGCATTCTTTCCTTTGAAGCTTTTCAATTAGGCCAAATTTAAAACATTTGTACCAGAGGTGGATTCCTACCAGTTCAGACCAGTTTGGCCAAGTAGGTAGTAACTAGGCCTGCCATGTGCCCCAACC